GGGGGGGGGGCGTCGCCTAACGGAGGAATGTTGAAACTTTTTTAAAACAGAGGGCCACAGACTGAAAAGCCAAGGAAGTGCAAAGCCCGTTTCACGTTGCGTTTACGAAACATGCTCAAACCAATTCAATATTCCATGGGTTAAAAGAAGCAAAGCAGTTTAACATCCAGCCAGCCACCCATCCATCGTTTTATCCTTACGACGGTCACAGGCGTGCTGGAGCCTATCCCAGTTGACTTCGGGCAAAAGGCCTTGTACACCCTCAACTGGTTACCAGCCAATCATAGGGCACAAAGGACAATTTGGAGTGATCATATAACCTACTCTGCATGTTTTTGGAATGTTGGAGGAAACCGGGGGACCTGGAGAAAACCTACACAGGCACGGGAAGAAAATGAAAACTCCACACAGGAAGGCCAGGGCCCAGAACCAAACCCCACGAACACTGTGGGCGGACAGGCTAACCAGTTGAGACCGCGACGTTGCAGTAAAACATATGAAAAGAAAAAAAATGTACATAAGACAAAAGTCCAAATTTCAGCTTGGTATTAGTAGTGAGAAAGCAAAAAGTTTTTACTGCGATACAAAAATCATAACAATTAAGCAATTTATTTTTAAACTGAACATTTTTTTTTACAATATTCATATACAAAATAGATTTCCAATTAAATGTAATTTGTCAAGTTGAAATTTGCAATTACAAATTGTAAAATGCATGTGACTTTAAAAATGTGATCTCTTCAAAATGTATTTACAATTGCAGTGTCTAGCATTTATTCTTTAATGTGTTACAGGTTCTAGTGTTCATTTTTATTTACAATTTTAAAATGTGTGGCATTTTTTAAATGACTGCCTGATATCTTGTATGATTTAAAAAAAATTGACAAATATTCTGCCAAATTATCTTGTCAGAATACATTGTCTTTACAATTAAAAAAATGTACAGCAAATCTAGTAACATTAAAATTTTAATCAAGCACTTTAAAACCACCACCTCTGCATACTAAGTGCTCTAAATAAAGTTAAAAAAAATCTGACATCTAAAAATAAAGACACTTAAGGGAGCGCTCTAAAATGTCCCAAAGTGTGAGTGTGAGCGCGGATGGTTGTTCATCTATGTGTGCCCTGCGATTGGCTAGCAACAAGTTCAGGGTGCACCCCGCCTACTGCCCGATAATAGCATCGCCGTGACCCTCCTGAGGGTAAGCGGATTAGAAAATGGATGGATGGGTGACACCTTTTCAAAAAGTGTTTTGTTTCTTTTATTCTCTCAGTGAAGCCAAGTATTTCCGAGTCAGAGTTTGCCCCTGTGGATATCCAGCCCTACATGTTTGGCAAGCGCCACCAGCTGACCTGCACTGCCTCCGGCAGACCCGCGCCACATATCACCTGGCTCTGGCAACCTTGTCACACAGACTCGGTCCTCAAACAGTAAGTGCTCGTCATTCTAGGTGTCTTATCTCTCAGGGATGCTGCAAAATTGCTACATCTCAACTCTTAATGGGCTCCGGCAATAAGCTGCCGTCTGTTCTCACTCTCCTGCTGTCAAGAAATGGGAGTCTGTTGTATACTTTGAGGAAACAAAAAGATCCGTTTGGATATTTCCCCAAATAAAGCTGTTTGTCACTCCCAGTCGAACTTTGCTGTAAAACTGCCACGTAAAACAAAAATCAATTCAATGGAACATTGTGCGTTCAAAATCTTCACCCAAATCGTATTATTTCCTCTTGCAAATGCCTACTAGATTCTTGCTAAGATATAATGCATAACACTGTCAAAAGAATAACAGAGATTAGCAGAGATGTGACACCATTTATAAATCTTCAAATAACTGCTACTTTTGACAAACATGGCACACAAAACAGTTTTTTTAACTAACCTACTTATTTAAACATACTGTACATCCTCTCTGCTCTGTAAGAACTTGTTTTGAACTACTCCGGCTATGCTACATTCATTTTGGACTCTAAGCCACCAACCTTTTTGAAAGTGAAAGCTACAAGAGGAATTCGGGCCGGTGAAGAACAAAAAAAGGTTGGCAGGATTCTTATTTTTATCTCCAAATTTGTGTAAATTACCTTTTATCATTGTATTATAATATTCGCATGTATGAAGACGCGGTTCATTTTTGATTATATCAATCTCTGCCAGTGTGCTATTTTTCAAACAGGGTCACAAGCTACTTACTGTATGTGGTCCTTCAGGGGGCTAACTGGTTCCCGCGGGCGCCGCATTGGTGACTCCTGCTCTAAACTTTCCATAGCTGTGGATGTGAATGTGTTGTGAATATCTGTCTCTATATATGCCCTGTGATTGAATTGGCAACCTGTCCAGGGATATGTGGCGTAAGAAAATAAATGAATGGATGGATAGACATGGTCCCCACATGACAAAAGTAGAGATGATGAATGGATGCACGCTGACACCCATTAAGGGCAAAAAAACTCGAGCCTTAAGTTGTATAATTCCATTTATGCGGAATCTCAAGCCACCCCGGAGTGCCAGTAAAAAAAACAACACCACATCTCCACTGTCTAAATTGACTCAGAACACAGCACATTAATCAAAGTAAAGTAGCCCCGGAGAGGTGCCCTCACATTTGAGGTCAACGCCTTCGGATTCCAAAGAGGAAACAGTGGGGAGATATATTACCGCTGATTCCCCCAGTAATTCTTCGTGTACGATGAGTGACTGCTGCTGAATACCAGCCTGCTAGTGAACCCACAAACAAGATGAACATTCCCCGAGATCCCGGCCGCTCTGTGACAGCGGGAGACCTGCGAGCCGTAAGATCAGCAAAACAATAGGCCATTAGCCCCGGGTTATCAGGACCCGGCACCATTAGCAAAAACAACAGTGCGTGAGTGAAGAGGGGACGCCTCACTTATTCCCGGAAATACTAAATTTCATTATGCTTTTAGCAAAGTGGGGTGGGGATGGAGGGGGGCATATAATGTGTGGGTCAAGTTTAAAATAGTTTTAAATCTAATAATTAAACAAAATGTACATTTAAAGATATTAGAAGGTCTGTTCTGGGGCCACCCCCCCTCTCATATTAATAGATGTTTCCCCCCCCCTCACTTAGTTTTATCATTAGCTTATTTTTTGTTTGTTTTTTCAGAATACAAGTTATTTATCAGATGTGAAATTTAAAAAAGATCACAATAACTTGTGTGAGGAAAAACTCATCTTTTAAAAAAATGCACAGTAGTACCCTGACTTAAAAGTTTAATTTGTTCCCTCATCAAGCTTACAACTGAACTTCGTCACATGTCAAATAAATGTTCCTATTAATTCATTCCAGCACCCCCAATAACTATTTTTGTTTCCTTTTTAACAAAGAAAAATAGCATTGCATAGCAAAAATAGCATATCATACATTCAGACTCCAGTTTGATTGAAGAGAACAAAAACGAAGAGCGACAGTCACCCATGTTCAGTCACACACTTAAATACGAAATGAAAACACTCACAGGGAGCATGGAGAAGGTTGAACTAATTGCGTGGTGAACAGCCAACCTGACTGACTCTCAACTCTGGGTGTCACTCAGTAGGCCACACCCTTTATTTTAAATTTTTATTTCACTTCACAAAAAATGTTTTTCCCCACTCTAGTTTTTATTTTGTTGATAATAACCTTAGTGAAGGTTAAGCAAACGAGAAATAATCAACATCTCGCATCTGTTGGAGAAGTGTCTGGACTGTAGCCACTCTCGCCTGCTGGGTGGTGAATCATACACAATGTTTGTTTTATCAAGACTTGACCCTGCAAGTGCTCGACACTGTAAATTCATTCAAGATCATATCACATCTTTGGACAGAGGGGAAACAATCAATCTGAGGAAGCTGACAGTAGGCTGATAGGCACAAAGTGTACAACAGAGGTTTCCAAACTCTAACCGATGGCTGCATTAAGGGGAAAAGAAAAAAAAAAAATTAACATTCAGAATGCTGATATGTTCGCAAATTGGAACCTGACGCAGAACAGATGGAAAAGAAATATGAAAGTCCATCCTTGATTTTCAAGCCCACTTATTTTCCCTTTTGCTTTTGACAGTAAGTAGCCGCTTAATTTCATCCAGAACTCAATGCCGCCTATGGGTCGCAAATGGCCCACAAGCCAGATTTTGTTCACACCTGCTGTAAAAGGTCCCGGGGTGTCATTGTGGGTTGCCAGGTTGCGAAGTTATCAGCGGTCCCCTGTTTGACTGCCAAGGTCTACGCATCAGCCTTATCTCCTTGGAGCAGATCAAGCTGGCGTTTCCTGTTGGAGGTGACGCACAGCCAGGCCCTTCCTGTCGCTCGGGCCGTTTCCTCCTCGGCCTTTCGTCTCATCAGGTTGATTGTTTGCCACCGCAGGCGGCGACGGCTTTGGAGGCTTGAGAGTGGGCTAATCTAAGTTTGCTGTCAGCCTTTCGGCCAAGGATAGTAGAAAAGCTGTTTAAGCATTTATTCCGTCTGGTTGAAACCCAGCTTAAGATCCATGGACTGTCATGGTCCGCAAGGTTCAGGACAGAAGCGGACTCTAAAAACCGCAGTCTCAGATAAGTACATAAAAAAATATTTATTTACAGAACAAGGGGCGCGAAGCCGACAAAGTACAAATAATGACGCTGGTAAACGAGAGAAACAAAAGGTGCTTGCAAAAGGCAAGGCATACATACAGAATACAAACGAAAATAGCTTGTCGCAAAAGGACAAGAGAACCAAATGAAGAACTTACCGAAACCAAAATGACAACTTACTAGAAATTGGAGAGCAAAAAAAAAAAAACAAACAAAACCCCAAAAAAACAAGGAACGGGAAAAACAGAGAAGATCAGGCGCGTCTATATGGCCCAGTGGTTCTTACCATTGTTAGAGGTACCAAACCCAACCAGTTCATAAGCACGTTAACCGAACCTTTCATTCGTGAAAAATGAAAATTTGACTTTTTACAAATTCAAGACATTAAAAAAACACATTGATTCAAAACAAAAAAAAGGAAATAAAATTACATGGCCTACGTTTTTTTAAATTGTATGACGTACTATCACGACAGTCACACAGTCATACAAAGCGAACTTAATTTCTCACAGCACTGATTGGACAAGCAATGTCATGTGATTATCTGCAGCCAGTGATGGCCAAGCGGGCGTGTCATAACTAATTGACATCTTGAGTCTGGTCTGTCTCAACCTCCATGGCAGAGGCTTCGTGGAACCCCTGAGACCGATTCACCGAACCCCTAGGTTCGATCGAACCCAGGTTAAGAAGCACTGGCCTAGTCATTCTACTTGCGCACAGACTTGCCTTAGTAGTTGCGTACTAGCACATCGACCTGAAGTGGGATACCAACAATATGAAATGATTGCTGGTTATACGGTCAGCCATTTTGATCAATTATTACACTTCTTTGGAAATGACGCTACCGGTAGGTTGCACGGGTCTAATCGTGTTTCTCCTGCAGCGTAGTAGTTTACTAGTAAGGTTCAGTTGCGCACTAGTATGCCAAAACTGGCACTCGGAGTGGGAATATGACTTGTTTGACACACTTGTTCTTCTATTACATGGAATTCTCTTCCTCGTGAGGACAAAGACCTCACCACTAGCACATGGAGCCAAGATGGATGTCAAAGAAACAATGCTCAATTGGACAGGCCGACACTCTCTCTGCATAGTCTCCGCGCGGTGACAGCTGTGAAGCTATTATAATGAAATACAATCACATAACTGCTCCGCTGGTATTCATTCCATCTGGGCAAGCGTTTAATGCAAATATTGTACATGGTATATTGTTCGGCGCTTAACACGTACATTTGTTTTTCTTCATACTTGCAGTGTGACATGATAGCCATTTTTACGGCCATTGTTGCCTCTCTTGCAGATGCATCTCGGAGACAACGGGGGTCACCGTTATGGAAAAGGGAAATGTCGGTAACAGAATCGAGAGTATAAGGACAAAGCCTGAAATGGTTCAAGGAAAAAACAAGGTATGCCTTTGCTGCAGTGTTTTTTTTTTTTCTTTCCCCCATTTGAAGTCTTGCTGACAGCAGGGTTTTTATGAGCACTGGTACTGGCCAATATCAAGACAATATCCAATGGCAAGGCCTGATTCAAGTGGAATTCTTCCACGAGGAGCACATTAAAGTCATATTCCTCATCTGAAAGGAATAAATCCTTTCCAATTTGCTTCCAATGAATGTGACGCGTAACTCTTCCATGAGCAACTGTGACCAAAACACATGAAAATGCGCCTTTATGGCAGTCGCTTTTGAAGAAATGCCTTCATCACTTGGAATTATTTATTACTGGAGGGAGTGACCAGGAAAATGGGACATAGGTTGTTGTTGTTGTTGTTGTTGTTGCTTTTTTTGGATTGGCAGGCAGAGCCCTAAATCTGAAAATGATTAAATTGTTTTTAAACTGCAGACTGACACCGAATTGGTGCCATTTGCCTGTTGTAACGCTCTCAAAATGAAAACGACATTTGTGTGCTTTATCAACTCTGAATCCGATAATATACACATTGAACAATTCAAAAATGTGTCATGGCCAATCTCGGGCGACTTTGTGATTTATGCTATCGTTTTATTAGACTGAAACTCCTCATTTGAGTAACGAGAGCGAATTTTAGCATCGAAGTGGCAAACACATGAAATACGGCTACATTACAATTATGCTAAGGCTACATAACGAATAAAATATGATATCCTGTTAACAATAAACTAAATAGCTTTTTGGCAGTGAAAAAATATACCTTTCAAAAACTGTTTACGTATGTACATTCAATTGTTTATGTGCAGACAATCCACTTACATATTGAAATGTGATGAAGGCTGAAATAAGACAAGCCTTAATCAGATTGAGGTAAACAAACGACTGTATATCTTTAGGCTGTAATGTCATTTCAAGAATCTAACTAATTCCATCATGTAAACCCAAAATGAGAGAGAAGAAAATGACCCAATTCCTGTTCGCGTCTTTTCACCTCAAACATAATCAAGAGCAGACTTGACTGCATCGCGTGCGTCTTTCCATAGAATAAATATTTCGGATCTTGAGTCCAACTAGGTCACGAAAACAGAAAGAATTGTGGGTTTTGTTTTTTGTTTTTTCTCCAATTCTCATATGTCTGTCTTATTGTGGATGAAAAGTAAAATAGCTTTTTTTTTCTTTTTACAAGGCTCAATAATTGTAAATGTGGCCATTTTCACAGGGCATCGGTTCTAATACGTGGCCGTCATAAATAGTGGAGCCCCACTTGTTTACAAGTACCTGCGGCCGAAAGCGCTTGCTTTATGAGGGCGATGACTAAAGGTCAACGATAACAAGCGAGAATTTAAAAGGCGAGGGATTTGCTGGCAAATTCCTTTCTGTCACTCCACATAAATCGCGACGGCCCGTGAATTAGACGCTGGTCACAACGGGGGGGCCTCCGAGCCGAGCTGCTCCCCCAGAAGGCCGGCGAGTGAAAAAGGAAGTCTGGCGAAGTGACAACCAAGACTACAGAAACAGTGAAAAGATGGACTGTTTATTGCGCTTGGATGACATCATCATTACTGGATAATAATTCCATAATTCCTTGTCAGGGTTTGGGTGAATTGCGTTGAATTTCACTTGGAACCTTTTAGCATTGCGCTCAGAAGAAATGGCATGATGCTGCAACAATGTGATTATTATTGTGCTTGGATTGGACTCAAAGCTTTTTTTTTCTAATATTTTAGAATGGAATTTGTGGACATTCATCAAGCTTAAGGTCCATTTACTAGTATGCTCTTTGACCTCACAGCATACTTGCCCGACAACAGTCACACTCATGCTGCCTTCCGTCACTATATTTTATTTGATTTACTATGTCCACACACGAATAGGACAACTAGTAGTGCAAGCGAAGCTAAACTGATAAGACATGATAATGTCATCAATTGCAAGCAGATGTCAACACGCGCACAGTTTTGCCGCACTAGTAACATGTTATTGTCCTACTTGGATGCCACTGTTGTTCAACTGATGAGGACAAAGAGCATACTAGTACATGGACCTGAAGGTGGATAGCAAGGATATTTAATAATTGCTCAAAGGCGGCTAGGAATGTGTTACACATGCCTAATTCTTGGCCCGAATTGTCTTATTTAAGCAGCACAACAGATAACTGCTCAGTTTTAATTGCATGCAAGTAGGCCAGAAATAGTAGTGGGGAAAAAAAATTACTAGTAAGTCGTTATGCTATGCTAGTGACAAGGATGCACGAGTTGAATGACCATGTCTCATTTTTTTTTTTTTCCACTGCTGTCTTCCAGTACTGAATGACATTTTGGCAAACTCGTAGGAACATTACTTGTGACGAGTGGGGCAAAAACTAAAATTCAGCCTAGTTATGGATTTTGCTTAATATTTAATTTGGCACTTGGAATCACATGAGGTCGTTGCAGCTCTGCAGATTGTAAAAAAAAAAAAAAAAAAAAAAAAAGTTCATTCATGCTGCGCTGACCACTCTCCTCTTTGTTAATAGCGATTCACTGCTTTGAGGCTTTTTTTTTTTCTTTCCCCCTTTTACAATAATTGCCTTGTTGTTCCCATTCAGACTCGGAGCACCCTGGTGATTGGAGAAGCCAGTGTGTCGGGAAATTACTCCTGTTTGGCCCAGAATGAAAATGGCAAAAGCATCATGAGCATCCCTTTCTTTGTTAGTGGTAAGTGATCGGTCACCCCCATACATCTTCATTTCATAATCATACAAAATAATATGGGATGGATACCACATGATTTTCTTGTACAATATTCTTGAGAGGTAATTATAATAACCTGGAATGAGCATGTTGAGCGTACATTGTGCAATAAAGACACCAGAGGGGGGCATTAATTGAAACCACGTTCCCTTGCAGCTGAGCGGCTTCGGGGTGTAAGCGAGGCAAATCCATCCCGAGCCATATGGAGCACCATAATGGCACACGTTAAAAAGAAAAGAAAACAAAACAAAACAAAACAAAAAAAGCTATGAATAATTGCATTCTTTCCAGTGCAAGCTGGTCATTGTTTCTCCCATCCCCCTTTTATCTGTGAGGCCTCCACTATGAGAATTTGCATTTTATGTGCATCTGAACATTTCCAAATGTTCCCACATTAAATAATCAATTTCAGAACTGCCAGAGCAACGTAAACTCAAATTGTTGACATACGGGGGGGAAAAAAAGAATCACAATTGAAATTTTAAGGAAAATGGCTCAAACCTCACAAGTTACTAGACTCCAGCATGGGAGAATTCCCAAGAGGAATCCGACTCTGGTCCAGAGGTGAGGAAGATGAGAGATGGTGGAATGCCGCTTAAAAAAAAAAAAAAAAAAAATGAGGACAGAATTGTAACAACAGCTGTCTTCTGTTACGGAACACAGAATGCTTCCCAGCGATGTGAATAAACAAGCACAGTCTGGTCCCCTTGGGGCCCACGTTGAGCTTCCCTGCAATTGGCTGACTGCTGCGGCACCATCAGCGATGCCGTCGTGCACCAACGTGCTTCCAATTATCGGTGATGAAACAGGAAATAACTCACATTGGACATTCCTGTCCCTGCTCTCTGTCTTCAACACTGGCCGGGACAGGAATTTGGTACCTGGGCCTTCAGGGGGGGACCTTATCCACCTCCTTTTAACACCACTATCACGTCATAATTATTAAAAGAAAGCAACACAGTGTGCAACCGTGCCATGCACATCTGGAGCAGTTCACGGTCATTGTGTATCGAATAACGTGACTAAAATCTAAACGCATGTCACTCAGCAGAGATGCTGATTATTAAACGTATGATTGCGGGCAGATCACAATCGACGGGTTTTCCTGGTTGAACTTGGCTGTGAAAGGTTTTGCTCAGACCAAACTTTTCATACGACAGAAAAATGATGACATAATCAAAGGCCAGCGCTCTATTTGTAAGGAACAACTAAAAAAATGTGATTGCTTGAAAAAAAAATCTGTGAACCCCCTTTATCGCTGCGGATACCTTCCAGGTGAGAGGCCATCTTAAATAACTTCGGTGAAATAGTTTTAGCGACCTCCAAGCTTGAAACTCTTTTACCTTAAATTGTTAAAACACACATTTTAAAATATTCCACACAAACCTTAAAGCCTGTTCTCATTCTCCGAGTGTTAAAAATTGGGAGACTATGATACAACATCACTGTAAAGACATGAAAAGAACACTTGTACTCACACAGTAAGAAGCGTAGCGTGCTTACTTCAAGCTCTTGTTCCTCCCAGTTGAAGTTTTACTGTAAAACGGACACAAAGCAAAAGAGAACTAGAAATTGTACTTTCAAACACTAAAATGTTCAACCAAACCAGATAATATCAAAATCCCACGAAGCCTAATGCTAACATACAGTATAATGCTAACAAAAGAAAAATTAGCAACCAAAAAAAAAAAAAAAAAATGCGAACAGAAATTAGCATTGAGGTTACATTAATTATAAACCTTCAAACAACTTCTCCTTTGACACACACGAAGCAGTAACAGGTACAAGAACAATACTCGTATGGATGTACTGTATCCTCTCTGTGGGAACGATGACTATTACTGCAGCTTAGTTGGGGACCTTCTCTGCCTCTTCTTGTTCTTAATTAGGTGTCTTCCAGTCGACGTGGTACTCCAAAAGATGTTGCTTTAATGCAAAAGTAGCTGGTGTTCTTTGTATAGTTTAGATTCTGTGAGCCAGTACTAGCTTTATGAAGACCCTGGGTTGATTATATTGACATTGCAAGAAAATCTGGCTTCCATATACACATTCTGGAAGTAGTCCAGCCAAGAGAAATGCTACCAAATGAGGTGACATCATCCCTCCTTGTCCCACCAGATCATCCCGAGCCCATTTCCATCCAGCCTCAGTCAGCCGTGGAGAAGGATGACATCACCTTGAGCTGCCGGGCTTCGCGTTATCTCTACATAGACCTGCAATGGCTTGATTCCCAGAATCGAACCGTCACCTCAAACGTGTCCCGTCTCCAGCTTGACCGCTACTCAATTGCCATCTTGCTCCATTTGCGAAACGTTAGCAAAAACAGCACTGCCGGTTACAAGTGTCGAGCTATGAAGCTGCAAAATAAGCTTGAAGTCAAGTCGGCGGCTTTGAATGTGATTGGTACGTATATACACCTTTGCCCATTCTTTCGATAGCCTACTTGAGTGTCCATAACTGGTAGACATTTTGTCCTTACCCGTTTCAGCGCATTAGTAGAATAATTAGAGTGAACTAGTTAAACAACTGTGTCTTATTGGACAGGTTTTGTCCTCTATCACTTTCCATGACTGTATGACATTTCTATGCACTAGTAGAATGATAAGGGCACAACTAGCTGCACTCGTAAGATGCCTGTTTTATGAGTGGCTATTTTTCACTATTGCCTTTCATTAAGATATGATATTTCTACACACTAGGACAATAGTTAAAAAAAAACTACTAGTACTAGTAGGTACTGGTAAGCTGTCAAAGAAAATACTCAATGCCAGTCGTCCAAATATACTTAAGTGGTCATAGTACAGTACAGGAGTACTGTAATTCAAAGTGTATTTTTGTGTCATCCAGCGAGAAAGCAGCCCTGGCTGAGTCAAAATCTCACTGATCGGGACGTGAACAGCAGCAGCACACTGGTGCTGGCCTGCCTGGCTCAGGGGGTTCCTCACCCCAACATCACATGGTACAAAAACAGCGTTCAGCTGGAGGAAGGCCCAGGTAAATGGAATCATTCTGTGTGTTATTATTTCAATTTTTTTTTTAGATGTCATTCAAATAGCCTAGTAGGAACGGTTGATGTGACAGTTATTTGATTGGCAATGGGGCAGTTATGATTGAGCCCTATGAATTCTGCCGAGCAATAAGTGACCACTGATGATAACCAGCCACCCACACTTGATACAATGAAATATGGTGCATGAAATCATGGAAGTTCAAGCTGGCATTTTAACCACTGAACAGGACGTCACCACTGACAAGTGTGTTTGCTATTTAGGGGCCACACATTTTCACAAGCTCAAGCACCTGATGAATAGGGCTCAGCATCTTTTATTTCAATCAGCAGTTCTGTTAAAACCCACATTTCCCGCCCGCTTGCAGGAATCACCCTGAGGAAGGACGGCGCACTGATCATCGAGAGGGTGAAGAAGGACGACGAGGGTCTCTACGAGTGCGTGGCCAGGAACAGTGAGGGTGTCGTCAAGACCAGCGCTTTGGTCACTGTGCTCGGTAAGATTTTGTGCAGTCACTGAGATCAAAACGCCACCCTCGATGTTTGGTCAGCACACCCGCAACACAGCTCCTCTCCCATTTCAGTTTCAAGAGTATCCCTTGACATAAGGTAAAAGTAGCAAAAGTACTCAAATGCTGTACCTCAGTACAAGTACGGACACTTTGGTAAAACAAAACTCTGGTAAGAGTAGAAGTAATGTAAAGTAACTCCTTTACAGAACATAAGTCCAAGTAAAAACTATTTCACTCTGAATTGTTTTCAGTACAAATGTAAAAAAAGGTTTACTGTCTACTATATCCTGTTTTGATAACTTAGCAAAACCAAAAACCATCTCTATACAAAATATTTTTCCTCTTTTACTTATTTTAAGAGACAATTTTCTTTGTACAGCACAATTCATACCCAACAAATATCCAAACTAATTTACATGGACAAATAATTTCAAAACAAGATCAAATTAAAGATGAAAATCAAGATAAATCCCAATATAAAAGTAGGATAAATTAAATCAAAACCACAAAATTAAAGATTAAGATTACAAAGTTCTTTTTCGATTCATTAAAAAAAAGCCACAGTGAACATGAAAGACTGATTTAAATCTAGCCTTCATTTATAGTAACATGCTAATACTGAGAAGTAGAAAAAAAGCTAGCAATGAGCTTTTATGCTATCAAAATATGTCCCCCGATGCTTCGCTACTGTGGTGAACCTACAAACCAAAAAATGTTTAGATATATTAAGCAACGGAAACAATACCTGCTTGTGTGTTTTTCAGATGAGATGGAAAACTTTAGGCTGGCAAGAGACAATACAACATCAAGCATTAGCATTAGCATCGAGCCAAAAGGGGTCAAGTGAGCAGAATGTGCAGTGTGTTTATATGAATGGTAGTGGAATAAAAGTAAAAAGATACATATATACCTCTCAACTAATCAATCAATTAAACTGTGTGGTCATATTTGTACTTGGTTACTTCCAAGCACTATGACGACGTGAATTCTCTTGAGATTTCTGATCAAGGCTGTGGCTGAGGGTTGTTACAATCAGGACGTGACCTGTGGAAATTGTTTAGAGATCCACTAATGACGGCACAGAGAATTTGACAGCTCAGCGGCTTGCAAGGACACTTGTGATTGTTTTTTTGGAAGAAGAATGAGAAGAAGGCGGCCTTCAGCTAGTTTCACAAATATCCGCATGATGTTTACAGTATCTGATGTGCGGCTTTAATTGCCAAGTGTCATGCGTTTGAAGCTTTTGTTTGACTGTTTTTTAAACACACAATCGCACTGACGAGTTCAGCTACTGACAAGAGTGGGTTAGCTCCATTTTTCATATTGCAGGAAAGTGATTTCAAGATTTATGGCTCAAATAAAGTCCGGGAGGGTAACATCCTAGTGATTTATATGATAATGATTACACCGTCTGGATCCTGGTTTTACAGAAAGTGTGGTTTTACTCAGATCAAGAATAGTTCAATTGATGTTGATGAGAATTAATGACATTTTTGCACGAGTGGATACAGTCATCGTCTTCACTTTGATAGGTTGGATCACAGTCAGTATCCGTGAGGTTGACTGAAAGACAAGAAATAAACAGGGTTGTGGAAAAAAAAGGTTTAATGCAAAAGATGATAAATACTATCATCTGGCACTCAACCTTTGCTGGTATGTTGACCCACTGTTGCACAGATGAATCATCATGAACCTTTTCCGAAATGACAAATATAAAGTGAGCCCATTCAAGTTGTCTGTGGCTGAGTTGTTGTTTCACTCTCTCTACAGGGGAAGAAGGGAAGCCAAACGTGGAGGTTATAATTCTAGTGTGCACTGGAGCCGCCGCCACCTTCCTCTGGCTCATGCTCATCCTCTTCATTCGCAAGCTGAGAAAGGTAAGACGCTGCAGAGAATTTTTCCTGCAAAGAACGCTCTGTAAAATGTACGTTTGGTGGTGTGATTTTTCTCATCGTGGCTTTCTGAGCACTCGCAGTACCATAATAATGACCACCATTAAAATAGGGAAGCATTATAGTTCAGTCGGACATGCGGCCTACGACCTAACTCTCAATGGCTCATTAATTTTCCCCAAAAATAAATGTTTTTTTTTTTGTTTTGTTTTTTTTATCTTTTGGTGCTGAACTGTGAATATGCAAGTGTAGACTTTAGTTTAAGTTTCTTTTGTTGTTTGCTTCAAACACTGTTGTTTGGTTAGGCTAGTGGATCTTTCATACATGCATTGAGAAATGTATTCGAAAACTTTAACATATTAAGAGCATGTATTGTACATCCTTCCCCACCTAGCAACAGCCCGCGCACTACAAAATGGGGCCGTCTATCATCATTGACCCCGACGAGTGTCCTCTGGACGAGCAGAACGATCTCCTCCAGTACGACAGCAGCAAATGGGAGTTTCCCCGCGATCGCCTCAGATTAGGTGGGCACTGTGCAAACATACGCGGGTACACCTAGGCCCATTTTTTTTTTCACATCTTACCCTTGATGTCATCCAACATTAACCGCTAACCCTTCTCGCTTTGCCAGGCAAAACTCTAGGCCACTGTTTTTTTTTTTGTTTTGTTTTTTTTATCTTTTGGTGCTGAACTGTGAATATGCAAGTGTAGACTTTAGTTTAAGATTTGATTTAATAAAACCTTTCGCCACAAGATGGCAGTAAGGAAGTCTAATACTTGCAAATTTGGAATGTTATGCAAGACAAACTACAGGAAAAACTTCAATAATATTAAAATTTTGAGTGACAGGATTTTTGTGGAAAGATAGACAAAATGACCTCTTCCACCTAATGTTGGTTTCCTGTTCAACAGTTTTGTGCCATCTTTCATTGGTAATTTTAATGTAAGAGCCCTTTGAACTGGGGGGGAGTGGACGGTTGGGCCAGGTCATTCGCCGAAAACTTTAACATATTAAGAGCATGTATTTTGCATGGATTCACATATTTGGTCCATATTTAAGATGCTATTTTTGTTGTACATCTAATTAGGAAATGCATGGTCCTATGTGGCCCAACCGAGTAGAATTGATGAAAAATTGTGGCCCCTTCCAGCATTTAATTAGCCCCATCCCTGGTCTAAGTGCTCCTGAAAATAATTTGATTGCGATTGTGACCACGCTATCAACAAAGGTTGTGAAACATTCTTGTTTGCGCTCGCTTTCCGACCAGAACTTAACATGGTTGTACATCCTTCCCCACCTAGCAACAGCCCGCGCACTACAAAATGGGGCCGTCTATCATCATTGACCCCGACGAGTGTCCTCTGGACGAGCAGAACGATCTCCTCCAGTACGACAGCAGCAAATGGGAGTTTCCCCGCGATCGCCTCAGATTAGGTGGGCACTGTGCAAACATACGCGGGTACACCTAGGCCCATTTTTTTTTTCACATCTTACCCTTGATGTCATCCAACATTAACCGCTAACCCTTCTCGCTTTGCCAGGCAAAACTCTAGGCCACGGAGCGTTTGGAAAAGTGGTGGAGGCCTCTGCCTTTGGGATTGACAAACTCTCCACCTGCAAGACTGTTGCAGTCAAGATGCTGAAAGGTTCGGACATTTTCGTTCATTTGTCTTAATATGAGGTCACGTAGGGCAGGGCAAATAAAACTGTCCGCAGGAATTCTTGCTCATACAACACGTAAGCCCCCGATGGCCCCTCAGGTTCAATTTAGGGGTAACACCGACATGAACTGGCTTGCATTAACCTCACACGGTGGACCGTTATGGGAAGCGGATGATCAAATCCATCACTCGGGATGGATTTCGGCCGCAGGTGACGGACACGGAATTTTAAGTATAAAGCCAAGAGGCGGTTACAAGTATAAGCAAAGACCTCCATCCATGAGGATATTTAAGGCAAAGGTTCTCAAACTGGCATCAGCCGGCTGGAGCTTGGGGGTCCGAAAAAATGATTTGCAATCAATTATTATGTCCAATCATTTGAAAATGTGCATTCGTGGATCTAGACTGACACACCAGTAAATACGAGATGAACCAATGACTCCTTATTACATTAGCTTAAGAATTATTTTTAAATTCTTGTATTTGTTTATTCATGATTTATTGTAACAGTTTCTTTTTTTTCTCTAAAATAAACAACTTTCATGTAATTTAAGGGTACACGTAGTTTGATTTAATTGGCGTTAAAGTTTATGAGAGGTTCCGTGGGAAACTATTTCACCTGTGATCGGTTGCTGGGTCCCCAATAAGTTTGAGAAGCCCTTATTCAGCCTACATTGGGACGGAACCCAACCACAAAGACATAAAAATAATTACTCATGTATGATCGCTGCACATCTTGTTGAAATTTGACATTATACGAGAGAGAATTTTCTGTTATTAGTCTATAAAATGATGTCAAATTTCAAATGTATACGCACCATTTGGAAACTATCCGCCCCCATTAATCCTCATTATTGTGAGAGGAGCACATAACACATCAGCGCAGATAAGAGAAATGAATACATGGGGAACGCGTGTCAAATGTAGTGGCTGTTGTCAAATTAATCACGATGCCAAATAAGGGCGGCTCGCGCCGGCTTTTTATCCGACTCGTAGGTCAACTTTAATGAAAACCAGGCAGATTGATTTGGTTTCGTGTACGAGCGGAGACTTTGGCGGCTCATAAATTTCTGAGAGGGCCAAGCAACATAAAACTCCACAAGGTCGAAATCCTCGCTAAATCAAGCTTATCCGCCTTTTCACATTATGTTTAATGAACGTACCATATTAAATTCCAAACTTAGCCGGTGTTCCGTCAACGATAACATCGTGTGTTTTAAATCAGCTGTCCTATTTGCCCATGATGACTTCACTACTATACATCTGGAACATTCTGAAAGATGTTTGAGTAGTTATCCTTCGTATCCACTAGCTTAAGGTCCATGTATAGCACTAGTGTGCTCTTCGTCCTCACTAGTAAGACAATTCACTACACTTGTCGAAACAACTGACGGATAAGTCAGGTTTTTTTTGGTGTCACTTTTGGCCTTCGAGTACACAATTCAATCATAGTAGTAAACTACATTGGTGGACTAGTACCGAGGCCTAACTAGTGGGCACGCGCCAGTCGTGAGCAAGGTTATTATTGTTCCCCAAAAATAAATAAACAAATAAAACTAAAGCTAAAAAAATTTTAGTGAGGCGCCCGTTGCGAACTGTTGAACACAGATGCGGATTTGAAACCGAGAGTCGCTGCTTGGAATTGAAGCGGATCTCAAATTGACAGGAGAAGTGAACCGATTTCTTTTAACGTCAGTGGATGCGACAGCTTCCTGTTTACTTTCACATTTAACTTGTAGCCGACGTGTGGGACGTCGTGCACGTTTTGAGCATGACGTCTCTGATCCACTGGTCAAAGGAGACGTTGATTCTCTCCTCTTTCATCAAAAACGGCTTCGAACAACAAGGTGTATGCAGGAAGAGTTTTTCCAATTGTATGTCTGTCCATGATTTATGTGTTGGGTAATAGTTTGTGATTTTATGTTAACTGTTCACAAAAGAGCTTTGTTATGGCTGTTGTGGAAAAAATTATTATCAATAAAGATGTCTTGTATTGGATTAGATTGTCGCCAGTTGTACGAGTGGTATGCCTTCGTCGGCAAGAACAGCTGGCTTGAGAAATGCAGCGCAGTCATTTACTGCAAAGATTTAATTGCATAGTAGTCGGCCAAATGGGGCACTGCTGCTGCAGTGGGAAAACATTACTGTGCTGAACTGTCTTACTAGGTGTGGACAAAGAGTACACTCGTGCATCGTTTTTGAAATGCATAAAATATATGGAACGAATGCCCATCTGCTCTTTTCATAATAGATCTGACTGATTCACATTTTTTACTCTGAACTTGCAGCTAATAACAGAATGATGAGGTCTTTTCGATCTGTTCCATATTACGACTTGAAAGCATGCACTATGGAACGCAAATATTATTGGATTGAGCACAAGAGAATTGTTTTGCGATACGCTCACCCTGCTGGGCGTGCCTTTCCTCACAGGCGGCGCCACATCTAACGAGCGCAAAGCCCTGATGTCGGAGCTCAAGATCCTGATTCACATCGGCCACCACCTCAACGTGGTCAACCTGCTGGGCGCTTGCACCAAGCCTGGAGGTGAGCTTCAGTCGCCACTCTAATACCCCGTGTTGGCCACTTCAAACGGCCAAATTTACGATATCCTCTCAAAATTACTCACAGCCATTAATGTCTAAACCGCTGGCAACAAAAGTGAGTACACCCCCAAGTGAAAATGCAGAATAGGGGCCCAATTAACCAGTTGGATAGGTTTCAGCTCCTAATGGCAATCAGCGATAGAGGAATGGATGTTCAAACAAACCATGATTTCAAGATCTTTGAAAAGTCAGCTAGCTCATTGCTAACATATAATGGGAAAAGCCGTAGACAGGCTAAGGGATATTAGCATAGATGTTGGATGGCTGGTTCATGATATATCTTGTCCAAACAGGGCCCTTGATGATGATTGTGGAGTTCTGCAAATACGGCAATTTATCCAACTACTTAAGAGGCAAGCGAGACGACTTTGTGGTTTACAAGGTGAGTTTGTAGCTTTGTTCATTTAGACTTTTTCGGCGCTTGGGCGGCCACGTCACCCTTCAGCACGGCGTGCCTTTTGCGTTCAGGGCCAGGACGGCAAGGTCATGTCGGGTACGGCGTGCGAACTGAGCGAGTTGATGAAACGCCGCCTGGAGAGCGTGGCCAGCACGGGAAGCTCGGCCAGTTCCGGTTTCATCGAAGATAAGAGCTACTGCGACTCAGAGGAAGAGGAAGAAGGTAAAAGCTCTGCATTCCTTGCGGCCCATTCAGCCGTCCGCTCTTCCGTTTCTGTTTGCTCCTCCCATGTAGCCACCACCCCCACCTCCACCTTCCTGCTGCTGCTTAATACTATAAGGAGCACTGAGCTGCCAGTTCCTTCCTGTGGTCTGTGCGGTGTTGCAGTCTCAATTTAATTGATAGTATCTTTTGGCTTGCCCTGACAAAATGTTGCCATATCTCACTCTGTGCCTGTTGTCCCTTAACCAACTGTGAAGGAGTGCGATGTTGAGGTTTCATTCAACCACAGGAAAAAAGACACAATTTTGGTCGAACTTCAAATTTGTGCTCACGGGGCCAGAGGTCTGGCCCTCCATGATGTCTGTGTTTTTATACCCTCTGATTGGTTGATCAGAGCAAAACTTGTTCCAGCTAACTTCGGCTAGCAAAACACGTCTGTAGCAGTTCTGTTTGCCCCTTCTGCACAGCCCCTCTGACCCCTAACTGTTCCTTCCTCCCACGCCGCTGTTCCGCCCCTCCCACCGAGGCACAAACCCCCCCACCCTCAGATTGTTTTGCAGTCTCTGTCCGATGGGAAGTTTCCTCCTCCTGTTCGGCGGTACAATCAGTCCAGCAGGCGGCCGCCGTCACCCCACTGGGTCTGGAGGCGGTTCTGTTTCCTACGCTGACCCTCTCTCTTTCTCTCTCGGCCCCCTACGTCAGACGTGTTGTTCCGGAGGTGTTATTTTGGTTTGATTAGTTGTTTACTCAGGTGGGGCTTCTTTTGAGTGCCTCTCCGGACCGCCGACCTGCACCCTCCAACCCCGAGCGCTCATTTCACCTGACCCATTGTGATTTATTCTTCCCTCAAATAAATGATGTCCTAAAGGAGACATACAGTGACTTAAGAGGGCCCCCCGCCCTCCACTTACACATGAAGGCAAAATTTCATACACTCGACTGTGTGTATGTGGCTCATGGACACTATGGATGGGAATTGAAATTTCGCTTTGATTGCTTGCCTGATGATTCCGCTTATCGATTCCCCTTAGCGTCCGAGTTGATAAAAACAACAAACATGAACAGTTACTTGTATTTAACTTTATGTAACAGTTATGCCTAACCTGGGCATCTTATAAAATTCAGTGCAGCTTTGCTTACCTTTTGGCTTCAACATGATAGAAGGGGTATCGGGAGAATGAGGGTGTTTTCGCAAGATTATTTCAGACAGTGTACGTGTTTGAAAGTGCTATTTGTGTGTGTGTGTGTGTGTGTGTGTGTGTGTGTGTGTGTGTGTGTGTGCGTGCGTGCGTGTGTGTGTGTGTGTGTGTGTGTGTGCGTGCGTGCGTGCGTGCGTGCGTGCACAGATAAAGATAGATAGATAGATAGATAGATAGATAGATAGATAGATAGATAGATAGATAGATAGATAGATAGATAGATAGATAGATAGATAGATAGATAGATAGATAGATAGATAGATAGATAGATAGATAGATAGATAGATAGATAGATAGATAGATAGATAGATAGATAGATAGATAGATAGATAGATAGATAGATAGATAGATAGATAGATAGATAGATAGATATAGCTCTTTACACCACCTGCGCCACAACTTAGACCTGCTTTTAACTAGTCTAAACTTGAGTCTACTTTCTGACACAAAATGCTCTTGGTTTAGATGGTGTAGTGTGTGTGACACACACACACACACACACACACACACACACACACACACACACACACACACCCTCATGGCTCTGAGACTTCCTTGTAGAATTAAAAATGTCTTTCACTGAATTTCTTTCTTCTCCGACAACTTGTTTTGCAGAATCGGAGGATTTATACAAGCGAGTTTTGACCTTGGAAGACTTGATTTGCTACAGCTTCCAAGTCGCAAAGGGCATGGAGTTTCTGGCCTCTCGCAAGGTATTCAAAATCGCTTTTATGTCATGTGTTGCGCAAGGGCTTATAACTTAATTACTTCAAATGAAAAATGATTGTCCATTTTAGGTCATGTGGTTTTGATCCACATGTTTGATTGATTAAAATGAAACTTACAATTTTTTTCTCCATCGTATTTTCAACACCTGTTTATTGTAGTCAGGCAGTCATTCATTCTTCCAAGTTGAGTGGCTGGGACTGATTTAGAAATGCAGCCATTGTTGTAAATAATCTCGTAGAGACCATTTTTAGCCTGGATATGGAAGACATCATGTCCTTTTGTACAATCACTGACGGGTTAACCATGTGTTGCTTTTCAAGCTGATCTGAATTACAGCAGGCAGCGCACCGTTGTCAAGCTGCCTCCAATCACAACTTGCTTTCTTTTTGCGTGACACTTAGTGCATCCATCGGGATTTGGCCGCTCGAAATATCCTTCTCTCCGAGAATAACGTGGTGAAGATTTGCGACTTTGGGCTGGCCAGAGATATCTACAAGGACCCCGACTATGTGCGCAAAGGAGATGTGAGTCTGTGGCGGGTTGTGCATTTGGTACCTTGGTCTTGCTCCTCTTTGGATCACCACTGTCACTCTACAATTACTTTTAAAAAAATACATAAAAATGCAATGTAATAACTACGCAGTGAATGATTCTGAATCTTATTTTTCCGTTTTTCCAGGCCCGGTTGCCCCTGAAGTGGATGGCTCCCGAGGCCATTTTTGACAAGATCTACACCACTCAGAGCGATGTGTGGTCCTTCGGTGTTCTCATGTGGGAGATCTTCTCATTGGGTAGGTACCGTGACCACATCAGATCACTTTTAATTCTAGCAAATCTTTTTTGATTGTATTCCAAATTTGGGTGGTTAAAGTAAGACACTTCATCGAAGTAGTATGCACAGATATACTGAAATAATTCATAGAATTTTTATAAGATCAATAATAATACTCTACTCGTAGCACACAAGGGCGGCCTGGTGGTCCAGTGCTTCGCGCGTCGACCTCACAGTGCAGAGGTACCAGGTTCGATTCCAGCTCCGGCCTCCCTGTGTGGCGTTTGCATGTTCTCCCCAGGCCTGCGTGGGTTTTTTCCGGGTACTCCGGTTTCCTCCCACTTTCTAAAAACATGCGTGGCAGGTTAATTGAACGCTCTAAATTGTCGCTAGGTGCGAGTGTGAGCACGGATGGTTGTTCGTCTCTGTGTGCCCTGCGAGTGGCTGGCAACCGGTTCAGGGCGTCCCCCGCCTCCTGCCCGAAGACTGCTGGGATAGACTCCAGCACGCCCCATGACCCTAGTGAGGATGAAGCGGTTCAGAAGATGGATGGATAGTAGCACACAGTTGTCAATTGGTGCATAGTTTTGCCTCACTGGTGACACGTAGCCGGTCCACTAATGTGCCCTTGTTGTTTCACGAGTACGCAGAAATGTCAAACGGTCATGGAAGGACAAGTGGACTAGTTATTAAGACAGGGTACTAGTGCAGTGACAATTCAGTCAAACTATGAGATGGACGAAATGTCTTTTCATGATGTCATTTTGTAACAAGCGTGTTTCCCGTCGCTTCGTTTAGGTGCGTCGCCGTACCCCGGTGTTCAAATCGACGAGGAGTTTTGCTGCAGACTGAAAGAAGGCACCAGGATGAGAGCCCCTGAATACTCTTCCTCTGAAATGTGAGTGTTCGGCTCAGTCTCACCATACCACGGGGGTCCCACGAGTAAAAAGTGCACAGATTTGGACGTCTTAACTCACAGACCCTACACTACCCAAAAATAAATAAACTGCTCAGTTTTGGTGTACTTGAGATGACCGACACAGGACTTAACTTTGTTGAAATGTCTTTGAGTGTATGTTTACGGAACAACTTTTCAGATTTTCAAAATGTTTGTTGATTTTTTTTAACTCGCAGACAATTTACGCCTTTGTTTTAAAATTCAAACAAGTTCAAGGAGCTTGCAGGGTCATCGGGACGTTTTTCAAAAGCTCAATGAAAACAAGGCAATGGCTCTCGGTTGTTTTCCACAGGAAATAAAGTTTTCCAAAATTTCAAAAATCACTGAGATGTGAAACTTTCGCTCGTATTTATTTTCATTCCAAACAAAACCAAAAGGCGCAGAGAGGTCGGCAGCATATTTTATCACTGAAAATTTAAATCAACAGTTCCCTGAAGTTTACACATTTTTTTTCAAAGTATCTCTTATCGGCCATTTTTTTTTTCTTTTTAAAGAATGCTGATGCCGATATTCATCAAAGTGCTTAATATCGGTGGTCCAACAATCGGTCTATTCCGAGCAGATGCCATAAAAACATCCTTCGGGACTATTTAAAGAGGGTATTTCTAAATCGCAGGTTACACTTGCCAGGGTGGTCACAAGGTGGGTGTTGCCTCTAATTGTCTGTATGGTGGCTTTTCACCAGTTACACATGCTTCGCAATAAATGGAGGTTCACTTTATTGTCCCCGCACCGTAATAAGCCATACCGCAGTAATTCATCAGTTTAGCAGAGCACAGACGGGATGATTCAGTGCCGCCCCCAATTCGGATTTTTGCTGCGTAAAACTCCCCGTTGCGAGAGGTTGGGAGCTCAAACTGACAGAGAACGTTTCCAAACACACGCGGCCGAATTAACCTCAAGGACTGGAACGGCATTCATCAAGCTATCAGCGGGTTTCATCTTCCTATCGGAGACAGGTCTCGCATAGATCAAGAGAGAAGGCGCGAGGAGAAACTCCTGGCACCAGCCAGTCTGCATCCGCACATCCGCTTTTGATTTTCGGCATCGTTTTCAATCCAAGTCTCGGCCCCGCAAAGTCGACTGGATTCACTTTGGGAGTCTCGCTTGACGTGAGGCGGCCAGAAACGTGTTGAAGCTTTGATACCAGAGAGCCATTAAACAGAAGTTGAAGCAATCTGTTTGGAAAACAAGATTGATGGACTACGCGGGCGCTTCAACTGGAGCGGAAAATGAACCCCCCGCATTTATTCCATAGCCTTACTTATAGGAGTGCACTCTTTGTCCTCACTAGTAGGGCAACATTCGTATACTTATAGGACAACTCAATGTTACTAGTGAGGCAAAACTAGGCCCCTCCGAAATCTGCATGCCACTGGTACTACTAGTGACCTCATAGAATTTGGGCATTTTGGTGTTACTATTGGTACAGGAGGCAACTAGTGCATGACACAGACCTGTTAGTTAACTCTGAAGGTTTAATTGGGCACTGGTAGGCCAAAAAGAGGCACTAGTTGTGGGGGAAACCTCAGTCCTTTACTCGTGAGCCCTATTCGTGCTACTACTCAAGCTTAAGCTCCATATACTGTTGCCACTCTTTCTCCTCACTTATCCGACAATTCGGCGCAGTAGTACAACGATGGAGGGTGCACTAGAGGAACAACTGCGTCCCACTCAAAATATTTTCTTTTTTTAGACTACTGTATTATATTTCTGCATACTAGTTGCACAACCACGTTACAATTGAAGCAAAACATTTGCGCCCGACTAGTACTACTAGTGTACTAACTAGTAGAATGGCATATTTTCCATAAAGCCTTTTAAGAATTGATTCACAGTGCACTAGTTTTGTTTTTAGCTATTGTTAGCTTTCTACTAGGGCGGCCTGGTGGTCCAGTGGTTAGCGCGTCAACCTCATAGTGCAGAGGTAGCGGGTTCGATTCCATCTCCTGTGTCGAGTTTGCATGTTCTCACCGGGCCCGCGTGGGTTTTCTTCGGGTCCTCCAGTTTCCCCCCACCACATTCCAAAAACATGCATGGCAAACTGATTGAACACTCTAAATTGTCCCTAGGTGTGAGTGTGAGCGCGGATGGTTGTTCGTCTCTGTGTGCCCTGCGATTTACTGGCAACCGGTTCAGGGCGTCCCCCGCCTACTGCTCGAAGACAGCTGGGATAGGCTCCAGTACACCCCGCGACCCTTGTGACGATAAAGCGGATCGGAAAATGGATGGATGGATGGATAGTTTCTACTAGTGCAAAAAAAAAAAAAAAAAACTATACTAGTGCATGGATCTTAAGCTGGTTATCAAACGGCTCAAACGGTTTTCAAACAGTAGTGAGAGTCGATGTGTGATGGCCAAATGTAGATCGTGCACAACTTGCGAGTCTGTTCTTATTCTTGAAAACCGATCCAGCTGACCTGCCAACTTTGCAAGCGTATGAAAGAAAAACGTTCAGTTCCTATTTCCAAAAAAAAGACAAATCGTTGTCAGTCGATACTCTTAAGTGGTGTCTTACGATACGACTGATCACTGCAGCTTGCTTAAGCGGACTAGACACACACTGACAATTGGGCCAAATTTCAGCAAATTCCCTCCTTTTCAACCAAAATCAGCAAAAGACTGATAATCAGATTTCTCTCCAAGATTATCTTGAAGTTTACGGTGCGATCAGAGATTTTTTTTTTTTTTTGCTTGAGGTCACCAATGGGCAAAGTTAAACACGTTAAGTATGAAAAGGTCTCAACACACCAAGTCAACGGTCGGCCAAAGTGGCCGCCCCAAAGTGACAGCGGACACGGCGCGGCAGCTCGACCCCGACGCCAAATGCTACATACCTTTTTTTGCCGACTGCTATCCCGCCTCTGCGCATGCGTGACGAGTAACTTTGGAATGCAGCGGCTTACTCCGGCGGGAAAACATTAAATGGGATGCCGACACACATGCTGCATGCAGCTTTTTTTGTTCAACATGACATTCCGGTCAGGAAATGTGTTTCACATTGTGCGGTGGGTCAAATAGTGATAACTTCCCCTTTTGTATGGTCCGCATTAGAGCGGTGACATCCCGTCGCCGTGATGAGGGCTCCCACCTGGTCAAGATGTGAATGAATAAAATCCCCCTGAAAAGCGGAGTGCAGCACAGGTGGCGAGGCGGAAAAATATTGCAACATCTGGTTTTCAAATTCATTATGAAACCAAAAAGGGAACGACAGTGCTGCAAAGTCACGAAATAGAAACACTCCAAGATTCTACTTTCGGTTATCGGTACTTGAGTCGTAAGCAAAGTTGGAACTAACAGAACGAAAAAGTAAACCGTGGTTGAAATCTGGAGTCTTTCCAGTCTTTGATTAAGCCCCCAAAAACAGATACAACGGCGAAATGGAGGTCAGACAGGGTGCATTAACGAAGGAAGAAACTATTCATCGAAGGCTCTGACGTCGAAAATAACAATTCTCTGACTAACGGATGGGCATCAAACTCATTTTTGTCCCTCAGAGGGCCTTTATGACTACGAAAATCTGAAATGTGTCAAAACCCTGATCACATTATGACATAATTGCCCGTGTCACTTATAGCTAATTGCCGTTGAAAATTGAGTAGAGCACCAGAGCCTTTTTTTTTAACCCTTTCATGCACCCTGTAACCTGATAACATGATAAACCGTCCACCGGAGTAACCGCTGTCCCTGAACAACATATGTGTGAGCACTTTGACCTCCTCTGGGTACGACGACCACGATTGCGCTCACAAATGTTTTGCTCTGAAGATCATTTAAAACGGGGGCCGCTCTGGGACCAGGGTTCTTTTTTCCTCCAAATTCCTGAATGAAAGGAGCGAACCTCACGCAAGGACTTAGTGAGTCTTCCCACATGCCCCCCACCCCCCCCCCCGCCGCTGACAGCTCGTGGCGGAGCCGTCAAAAGTTATGCGCTTCTCACACCCGTGCCCCGAGACCATCCCGTACGCCGTCAAAGCACTTCAAAAACAAACAAGAGGGGATTCAGAGTATTTGGACTTGGTTACTCCGCAGCGCTGAATGCAGCAGATGTTGCGCCTTTCTGACACGACCCGCCGTTTGTGCACGTGAACATGCAAAATATTTTGGCACTGAGAGGTTCTGCGTTTCATTACCTCAAGCCTCATGTATGTTCTTACAAAGCGCGCGCGCGTGTGTGTGTGTGTGTGTGTGTGTGTGTGTGTGTGTGTGTGTTTGCATTGTAGCTATAAGACCATGTTGGAGTGCTGGCAAGGGGAACCACAGGAACGGCCCACCTTCACCGAGCTGGTTGAACAGCTGGGAGACCTTCTTCAAGCCAGCGTGCAGCAGGTACAAAAAAAAAAAAACATTGCAGCCTTTGCAAGCTTTTGGGCATTAAGAATAAAAATAATTCCCAATTTACGCCGATAAATGATCAATTTATGGCGATAGGCTCAGGGGGGCGGGGGGTGGGGTCCATCAAACAATTATGTAATTTTTATTTTATCTATTTCTGATTTTCTTTACATTTCAGTTGTTATTCAATGTTTCAGTTTTGCATTCCTTAATTTGTTTTTTAAATAATTTATTTATTTTTTTATATTATTTAATTTGCATTCCAAACAAATCCCCAGTCAAATGTGTAATGACAGGACACGGTCAGCCATTTTTGTGTCACAAAAAGCAAGTTGCAAAAGCAGCAGGAAGTGGGCGTGGCCCGTCCTTGTCCTGAGGCTTGAGAAGCAGCAGGCGGGCGGTCGGCTCACAGTAGCCGACAAGGGGAAGTTGCACTCATCGCGTACAAACACTTGGCGCAGATGACGGTGACACCATCAGCCTTTTATTAGCGCCTCAGAGGAAAACCGATGAATTCCATCAGTGTGACTTGAAATAATGTGACAAATTTTTGACCGGAAAGGAAATACAGTGAAACCCAGTATGTTTTTTTTCTGGGTTTTGACTGAATACAGGCAGGTCCATATTGGAGTTGCGCTCCATCGGTGTAGGAACACATTGGACTGCAAAATGCTAGGGGGCATTGAGCCCTACTGGATGTAAATGCAGTGGAATTCGGAAATAGAAGAGGCAGGGAAGGTCCCCAATTAAGCCACAGTAATCAATGTTTCTGTAGGGCAAAGGGAATAGATGTCAATATATTTTGCTGTATGCTCCGTTAGTATGTGTTGCTGCTTGGTATGTGTTCAAAATGGTTTGAAGGTTTAGAAATTCTTGACCATCATTGCTTATTTCCATTAGCTCGTCTATGGCAACCTGCATTATGTGTTAGCGTTATGCTAGGAGACCATATGATGAATATTTTAGTGCTTAAATATAATGTTCAATTGATGATTTGCTGTCTATGTTGCTGTCCTGTGCGTGTTCAGGTAGTGGCTGTTTGAAGGTTTACTGATAGCTTTTGTGTTTAGATCACTGATAAACGAGGTTTCGCAGTGCTCTTAAACATAAAAGCGGAAGAATATCACATCTAAAAGCTCTCATTAGTGGCACCATTGTTGTGGTGCAGGAAGTCCTTCCACAGGCAACGACCTATTTGATTTACTAGCCGTGACCAAGCTTTCTTTGGCTGCTCTCCAAAAGGCGTGCGTGCATTTTTATGTTTGAACATCCGCAGCGCATCGTCCGTGAATCTGCCCACCGGGCACCTCCTGGAAAAGTTGTACCCAGATGGTTTTGTTTGTGTGACCAATTTAGGGGGGGAAACACTACATACCCGTCAACACCGACCTGCTGGCCAAAGTCGGCGAACTCGACGGCGGCAAGATGACGGAAGAAACGCCCACCCGGCCCGTTTCGCAGCGAGACTCGGGCGGCGCCTGGTAAAGAGATGGGGGAACCCCCCCCCCCCCTGCAATTTGGGCTGACAATATGATTCGATCGAAGTCATAACTTTACAAAAGTTTTAACTACTTAAAAATATTTTAACATTTTTATTTTATTATAGTTTGGTTTCAACAAAATGAAAAAAATTAAAATAAAATTACCCTATGCCAAATTTCAAAATTCTAATTGAATTTAAATTATATCAAATCATTCTTGAGTTTGATCTCATTTAATGACTGAAAATTAAATCTAATGTGATTAAATCACTTCAATCTTTTGACCAGTTTGACTGCTAGACAAGTATTTGACGTGAATTGAATTAAAAGCACATTTTAGAAAATGTAATTACATAATTTGTTGACAGTTTTATTAAATGAGTAAATTTTCCTACATTGACAGCTTGAGTGTTTTAAGTAAATCAATTTTTCAATGAAAGTCAATTTTGAAATAAATAAGCAAATTATATTATTTGACCAACATTTTAATCTAATCAAATTAAATGAAATGAAATCTAATTTCTTTCAACACATTTTGATTTAATTCAAATGAAAACAAATTCTGATCAAATTATATACAGCCACTTTGTCGATTTATTTAGATTTCATGTAATATTTCTTGAAACGCTCGGGCATTGACATATGTCCAAAGTATGTTTTACTGATGACATGATGAAAAGCAGCGATGACAGATAAACCCGAAGTTGAATTATTCAGATCGTTTTAGCCCCTTGGCAGCTGTGATGGCGAGGATTCAACACATTGTTGTGCTTAGTCATTAAATTACAGCAGTTTTATTGCCACTTGGCTTCTCCAAACTCTTAACACTGAGATGGCCTTTCCCGGAAATCTTTCTGTGTGTTAGGAACATCAAGATCAGACCGGCAAGCGTCAAAACCTTTGATGAAGTCACCATGGATGGCGAAGACAATCATGCTCACCAGGTCAGCAGGATGGATGGATGGATGGATGGAAAGAGCAAGAGAGGGAATGAAAGTGAGAGAGAGCAAGAGAAGATAAGTGAGAAGAGAGAGAGAGAGAGAGAGAGAGAGAGATATGGATGGATGTTAGGTCTCTGGGAAGATGGATAATGGATGGATGGATGCATGGATGGATGGAGAGATAGGTGAGGCGGTCTCTAGTTGGTTGGTATAAAAGTTGTTGGGCCGATGTATGGTGGGTTGGAAATAGATTTAAAATTGTGTCTCCTTTAAATAATACAAGGAGTACTCATTTTGAACGTTTTGTAAATGTATGGTGATGATAGCATTTTGTGTGTGTGTGTGTGTGTGTGTGTGTGTGTGTGTGTGTGTGTGTGTGTGTGTGTGTGTGTGTGTGTGTGTGTGTGTATCCATGTTGAGCAGGGCGTGCAGTGCGACAGTGGGATGGGCCTGTCGTCTGACAACATGAACACTCTGAAGAAACTGGAGACGCTCGCCGGACGACCTCTCAGCATCATGGCTCTGGCGTACGTATGCACGTGCCCACCCACACCCACCCACACACACAGACACACACACACACACACAGACACACACAGACACGCGCGCGGTGGAACTGGTAATGGGGTGAAAAAAAAACAAACTAGTAAGACATGTCATTTTACCAGCGCACTTATTTGTCATATTAGTGAGGACAGAAAGGGTTCTCTAATATGACCCCCACGATGGATATGCCATGCTGCATATCTAATTTAAAAAGTATATTTTTGAAAATCAGTAATGCCTGTTCTTGAGGAAAAAAAAAAGTTATTTAAAAAAAAAAAAAATGTGTGTGTTTTTTGGGCTGAGTCCATTTTGAGAACCAGCTCAGACATTTTTGGATAATGGGTGGCTGTTGTATATCACCCCCCAAAAAAAAATTTCATCTTATTGGATAAATCATAGCATTAAACATTTTGTGAAAAAAAAAAAGTTGGACTTGTTTTTAAGCTGTGTAGCCTCCTTTCAAGGAAAAAAAAAGTGTACATCTGAGAGAAAACGAAATTTTGTAAAACAGTGGGTCTCGCCTACTGTCACTGTGAGTAACAACGTCCTGCTTTCTCGTAAGTTCCCGTTCCTAGCTGTCCGTGATGCACACTCACAGTTGAAAATTGCTGTATACTCATTACCGAATAGCAATCAGCTCCATGCAGGTTACCAAATGAGCCCTTTGTCCCCAACACGCCAGTCGGAATAACTTGCGTGCTTGTGGTTTGCAGCATGAAGGCGATGAGCAGGAGCAAAGAGTCGGTCCTGAGCGAGCCCGACAAGGACAAGTACCCGCCAAGCGTCCCTCCTCTGGACCTCAACCTGGACGACTCGGCCTTGGACGCCGACCTCGAGTGTCACAGCCCGCCACCGGACTACAACTACGTGGTGCGCTACTCCACGCCGCCCGTTTAAGCTTTCACCTACGGCAAGCCTTCGAGCATGCTCAGAGGGGATTTCCCCTCGTGGCCGAACAGGGAGAACGTCGGCAAAACTGTGAATTGTGAAACGAGCGAGCGGCCAAATTGCGTCGTCCGACCGACGCGCCGGACTGACTTTGCGGAGCTCGGGCATTTTGCTCCAAGTGAAAAGTGGCTCAGGTATTTTCAGTCAGCTCCACATCAGGCTTTTCTACTGTGAAATGGCTCCACAAGGTCCAGCAAGCAACACGCAAGAGGAAAAGACACGCCTCATGTTCAAAAGGGCAAGATTTTGAAAGGAGATGTGATCATTATGCTTTGGGGTTTTTTTTTTTTTCTTTTCTTCACAATAGTTCACAAGAGTCTTCATAATACACCGGTGACAACATTTGCCAAGCACCTCCATGTAATCTTAACACCATTTTAGAATAACCATCACAATTTTTTATTTTTTTTGCCACTAACAACATAGCTGTGAACGCTTCACCTCACTTCAGCATAGTTCCTTGATGCTAAAACGCCGCAAAAACAACAAATAGAACGCCAAACTACAACTATGCAGGGTTCACCATATTTGTACACACATCATTAAAAAGTCAATCCTCCCCCAGCCCCCCACCCCACACACACACACACACACACACACACACACACACACACACACACACACACACACACACACACACTGTTCTTGCAACTTTGCTGACCCTTTGGTTTTAAAGTACTAAAATTTCACCACTGGGCTCCTAGAATTGCACCGTTATCCCCTCCTCCACTCTTTGACGGACTCCAAAGACAACTACTCGTATGTAAACAACAAAAGTACATTTTCAACATTGTAATAGTGCAGCTCCGCTTACCTTTTGACTTTAAAGTAGTGAAAAGTTTCCCTCGGTTCCCAGAATTTCACTGTTATCCCACCCCTTTTTTCCCCCGCCAAACCCAAACTATTCGCATAACGGTCACAAAAGGTCAATTTTCCGTCATCTGTCCTCTTAAAATATGAGTTATAAAAGAGTGATGTGAAGGTCCCTATTTGGTTAAAGTCTCGTGTCTAAGATGTCCGAACGTCCAATTGCTCCGGTTGTCTCATCAAGTCACAAATGAGTGAAAGTTTTGCTTGAAAAACAAACTTTGAAGGAGCCCATAAAGAGACTCTGCTCAATTGTATCTTTCCTAGTTTACAAACACAATTACTGCAACCAGTTCAGGATGTCCCCTGCCTACTGCCCGAAGACCGCCGGGATAGGCAACTCCGCGAGTCCTCATGAGGAGAAGCAGATTCGAAAATGGAGGGATGGATGGGCAAACACAATTACAATGTTATAGGAAGCTTTCCCCCCCAAACACAACATATGTATTTATTTCAACTGTAAACACTGTCAACTAAGAAGATGTGTGCGTGGAGTGATGTTTAAGCAAAGCTGACTTGCACCATGCAGATGTTCAAATGCTGCTGTGTTCATTGACTGGATTCAGCAGGTTTCCTCCTCCTCCTCCTCGTTGTGATGCTAACGAACGCTTGCGGGGCAGGCGTCATGGTAACCACCTTTGACTGTGTTGAATTTTGGCCAATGCCCTTGCTTTGTGACATTGTCATGGGGGGAGATCAGTGTCAGCCCTTACATACTGTTCAGGGAATGGTAGAAGGGCCAAAAGGGGAAATGAACAGTATGTAAGGGTTAAATCAAAGAACCGTGGACCAAATATGAATTCATCAGTTTGCTTGTGTTTCACGACCATGATTGGAAAAACCAACAAGAAATGCATCCGAAATGGATGAACTGTGGAATTTTTGTGTTCATGCGCAGAGGAAAGTCACGATGCACTGATACTTTATATCAAATGTGTTATTTTTTTCATATTCCGATTTTATGTATGTATTTTTTATTCAACAGTATTGTGGCTCACAAGTCGCACATGTAACGTCTAACTCCTTCATTAGTCCTGTTCATTCAACGTATGTTGGAAAATTCCTGTTGACCAAAAATGTTGATGTCGATGCAGCTTATCTGGAATAGTATTTGTTTTTTTTAATGTATGTAATAACCTGAAGCAGTTAAAAACCGTGTAGTTTGTCATTCACCTTCATTCTTATAGTGTCACGTGTTTTATAATTATGTTCCCCAACACTGTTGCTGAGCATATGAAGCAAATAAATAAATATATCTATATTTATACTTTAAAAGCTCTCTGGTGGTTTTTGTGTTCCATCTGTTTGGATACCTAATTATATTTTGATCAACACAATTCACAAACAATACGATTAAAATCACACATTTGATTTTCAATAATGGACATCTCATCGATGAAAGCGCCTAGAATTTACGACCGCCGACCGCCGGTCAACAAATGATCTAATTTCCGAAATGAATCCAGCAAAAACCAACAAGAAAACATTTCTAGATAGTTACGACTTTGGAATAGTTTTAACTAGTTGTGTAACTCAAGGAGTCACACAAAGTTAAACGACAAGCAAGTAAATAAACAGACATCGAGTTAAAATATTGGTATTAGCTAAACGGTAAAGCTTTAGCATTTGCTTTTTTTGTGTTGTGTATTTTAATGAAAATATTTATATTTTAACCAAAAAAAGTTGTTTTTTTGTCATATTGTTTTTAAGAGTTGATACTGGACTTTTTTCTAGATGGTTGGAACAAATTTGTAATCACTTGTTATGTAGCACCCGAAGACACACGATAAACATGTAACTCAACAGACATGGGCCAGTATTTTGGTGGACTGGCACCCGTGCGCTCGGTGTAAAAATGGGTGTAGTTTAATTTTTGTCTATAGTTTCGTGTCTTCAAGACCATGTTGCATCCATTTGGGCGTTTCGATACACGGAGTTGCCTCGCCCCCGAGTCATCCGACAATTTCATAACCGAAAGTAGTCTGCGCTCAGCATAAAAACCGATGCTTCGTCATATTTGTGCCAGGGTAATCCAGCGGGTTTGTGAATGTTGTAGATGCGCTAGGCCTCACTGGCAGTTTGTGCATCGCCCCCCACAACCCACATCCCAGCGCATCTGCAAATTTGGTCACAAAAACTAGACAAAATCTTAGACTTCTCAAAAGCAGGTTTATTTTGCAGCGCAGGTGGTCTAACGCGAATTCATTGAACGAATTATAATCATTATCTTAAATATATTTTATTAACACCCCGTCAGCCGTCAAACGAGGGACACTGTGGAATTTGGCTGGCAAACGTCTACGTTCCATCTCACAACAGCGCACAAAGGTGCAAACGCGCGGTTACGCCCAAATCTACCAGCGCAAAGTTGAGCAAAATACCAAGAGAAACAAAACTCTGCCCATGCGCACAGTTAAACTGAGCTTTGCACGAGACTTACGCCCGCAATGAAAAGAGAGCCCATGGAGTTAAAATAGCAATATTAGCATTAACGCTCTGATATTTGTGTGACGACATATTGTAAAACAAAATGAATGAGTTTAAGTTATCCGATATGATGATAGTTCAACAATAATCATATTAATTTTTTTTTTTTATACATTTCAAGTTTATGCATGCTTTTTTTTTTTTTGCTTTTTTTTTTTTTTTTAAATCAACTTTTGGTGCGTAGTGATTGCAACCCCTGCAATTACAACCAGCCTGGCGCATTAGTCATGTTTGTGCCTGGTTGCGATTATTGGCCAATTTTAATTATATAACTATGAATAAATCCAGACTACTGAACCCACCCATGTTTTTTTAGGAAAATATCCTCAAAAACAGCATTTCTGTGGAATGACTCAAAACACAGCCACGTACCCCTCAAATATAGTTGGTAAAAGTAACTTTCTTGCATATCTGCTGGTTATATCTGCGACACTCCTTTTTTCTTTAAATCTTATTTTTTGTGGAAGAATATAAGATGGCCGTACGGCCCAGCCCAATGTCTGTCCTCCCCGAGGACATTGTGAGTGATGAGGTCGAAGGTAGCAAGATTTCCCGCTCACCTTCGATTTCTTTAAACCATGACCTTCCTGTTGATTCATATTTTTATTCTCCACTCATTCATGCCTTTGGGACAGGAACGCGGCGATCTTCGGATGGCGTGACGGCGTTTCCCGGTTGGGCGAGGTGTCGGCAGCATGTCTGTGCTCCGGGACAAAGGAAGGAACACTTAATCACGACGGTCCGCCTCAAGGACGCCACACACGAGGCTTCCTATGGGAGCCAAACGCTCTCGAGTGGAAAACCCATTTGAGCATTTCTTCCATATCCTTCATATCCATTTTATGGTAATAATCCTAATCCACTTTTTGTACGCACTAGTAGGACAACTTTAGTACAATAGTAGGACATGTTACTCATACTACGAGTGATATGATAACATTTTACAACATCTAGCGCAGGGGTGTCAAACTCCTTTCACATTGTGGGCCACATACGGCCTCGGTAGATTTTCAAGTGGGCCGGACCATTGAAATTATACCATACTATGCTATAAATAACCAAAATAATATGTCTTTCCTTTGTTTTGGTCTAAAGAAGCACAAGGACATTAGGAAAATGTTGACATTTAATGAACATTTCTTTTACAAAACATTTCAGGAAGCACCTTAAGATTATCTTAGACAAATGTGTAATTTACTTTTATCATTCACATACATGCATTGCAACTGATCCCACTGATTGTACAAAGGCACAAAACTTTAACAAGTAATTGGTATTGAAAAATATAGTCATGCACTTTAAGATTAAACGAGATTTATAAAGAAAGGAATTTTTAAACCATTTACACATGTGCATATAAAATCTCAATTTAATCCCTGCCTACACCTTACAAACTAAGGAGAGTGCTATTAAATGTGTAAAGAATGAAGTATTCACATGTCCTTGATAGCGTCTGCTGTGTTGGGTCTGTTTCAGTGACAGACTGAGACTGCGGTTGTCTTCTTCTCTGATCAGAACAATGTTGTCTTCTACTCTGATCAAAACAGTGTGTCCCCTAGCGGATACTCCATGAATTGCACCTTATTACAAATATTAATTTCGTGTCTTTTATGCATTTTTTCACTTTTAAATTATCCTGCGGGCCTGATCGAACCTCCTTGGGGGCCGGTTCTGGCCCGCGGGCCGTATGTTTGAAACCACTGATCTAGTGCTTCACCAGTAGAGTATATTTGTAGTTTTGCATTCACGAATTTGCCTTTTTGTGGATATATTTTTATGTTTATGTCGTTCAATTGTATGTTAATATTAAAAAAAAAAAAAAAAGTAAAAATTACATTGACGTTATTCATCATGTTAAATACAGAAGGAAGATACTGTACGGAATAAAGGCCGGAATAAGAACACGAGCCTCCTTGAAGGTCTTGACAGGATCTGCCATGTTTACATGGAGGTGAGCGGGCAAACACGCCAACGCAGACAAACAAGGGAAGGATGTTGGTGGCGAAAGGAGGTGAGGGTGGGGGGTGGGGGTCGAGGTGGGGGTCGTGACTAGTATGTTTTTTTCATTTGGCAACAAACAACAGGCTGGAGTTGGCAACAGTCTTTTTCCATGATGAGGGGCATCCTTTTACCTTTCCTGTCTTGGGCTTGAATTTACTTCCCAATGACAAAGTCCACGGCACGACATCCAAAAAAGCACAATCATCCTCAACGTTTGTTTCATAAAAGTACAGTCAACCCCCATTTATTACGGCGATACGTTCCAGACCAGCCAAAAATTACATGAAAATCAACAAGATACAAATTTTCATCGATATGTTTTTGCTCAGGCCAAATCTGTGTCTCAGACCGCTCAAAAAGTGCTGTGCGGATATCTTGTGGCATCTACTGCAAACTGAAAGACTTACAGAGTGTCAATTACTTGAGGATTTGCAGCATTTGTGGCAGGAATCGTCCCTGAGTAACATTGTAATCATTTTATAATCGTGGTACCAAGGAACTATGTGGATATGAGTTGAGGAAAATCATTAGCAATGCTTTGCTGCCATCTTGTGGTATCTATTGGCAAAAAAAAAAAACTTTTCGGGGCAGGGGGGAGAGTGTGAATTTGCACATTTTTGTTAAGATTCAGTCACTATAGAAGACTGTAAGCAAATTACAAAATGACAGTTCAAATTAAGAATTACAAACACTTTTTTAAACACGTTTTCATCTACAAATGACCTGACTCATCTGTCCGTCTTAAACACCACAAGAGTACCTCTAATATAAGTGAAAGTTGCCAAAATGTTCCCTCACCAGCGACGGAATGTTTAAATTCCTCAAGAGTGAGTGCCTGCTGGATGGAATCAATGCTCAGCCCGACTCAGCACGCATGTCTCTCTGATCTATTTTTGGGCACGCTTGGACTCAATTAGTAGAAATCTGAAGCATTTGCAGGATCCCGCTTGGCACGCTGAGAGCGCAATGTGTGTTGTGTTGCGTGTTGGTCTAAAGATAGAAGCAGATGTTCCTGTTTCGCAGAGACGTACTGCGGTCAATTTGACAATCTCCGCACAAGTTATGCAACACCATTAATCCACACGTGGGACACAGCACGGGTTGGAATTTTTTGTTTCCTCATTTGAAAGACATTCACCTCCACCATTGGGTAGATTCATTCTGTGATGCAAAGTCAATGATACCGTTCATTAAAGATAAAAGCACTTTTAACTTAGCCTATCCCAGCCGTCTTCGGGCAGTAGGCGGGGGACACCCTGAACCGGTTGCCAGCCAAGCCGGAGTACCCGGAGAAAACCCACACAGGCCTAGGGAGAACATGCAAACTCCACACAGGAAGGTCGGGGCCGGGATCAAACCCACGATCTCTACACTGTGAGGTTGACGCACCAACCACTGGGCCACCGGGCCGCCAAAATCATTTATGTTATGGCAATTATAAAAGTTTCAAACAACTTCTGCTTGGAACCCACACAGAGGAGCGGTGCTTGCACAGTTCAACAAAACAAGAAACTACAAAACAAGAAACAGAGCGTGCGTGCTTCAACTTGCTTGTCATGCCCAGTTGAAATTAACTGTACGAATTGATCCATATAACAAAAAACAAATTAAGCAAGCCAATTAAAAAACACAAAGCTGTTCAACCGCATCATGTAATGTCATCAGAGTCCGGTAGCTTAATGCTAACATATAATGTGAAATACCATCGACAGGCCCAACGTTGACAATAATACAATTCCAATTTTTTTTAACTGCTACTTTCATTGTGACACCATTACATCGCAAAATTATATACAACAACGCCATTTAACTATTCATGGCATTAAAGAAGAGACAGATGCCTTTTGCCGATTAGAGGATAAAAAACATATTTACTAAAGCAAAAAAAAACATAGCTAAACTTAATCTTCAAATTCATCAACTCCAAACCACTTCAAACCTCCAAACTAAATCATAACAGCTCATGATCAATATTTTGAAAAAAAAAAGAGGACAAAAATATCCAAACATGAAAACAATTACATTGTACTCACCACAGATGCTGATGCAGACCTCCAGCTTGTCTGTTTTGCTAGCAGTAGCGCACATACGTGCCACTCTGAAAGTGTCCAAAAATTTGTTTTTCGTGTTGAGAAACCACTCAGCCAGCAACACTGTTGCCTTAAAGTCCAGTTTTCCTTGAAAAGTGCACCGTGAAAATGAATTTTTAATCATATTCAGCATTCGTCCCCGTACTGCTCAATCACCTGCACGTAATGATAAATCCCACTGAATCAGGTTTGATTAACCAATCAGAGAACGGAAGAGTGCTGACATCACTGAGATTTCGCGAAGGTGGAGATTTGTGAATAAGATAAGATAAGATAATACAAGATAACCTTTTATTTGTCCCACACTGGGGAAATTTGCAATCTGAAATCTGATTGGTTCAGATTGTTTTATTTTGTTTTTTAAGCAAGTTCTTGTGTGCGCGCGCGCACACACACACACACACACACACACACACACACACACACACACACACACACACACACACACACACACACACACGCACACACACACACGCGTGTATACGGAAAAGTCCATGTTGCCCAGGGCCAGGGGCCATATGTTGCCCACCCCTGGTTCAGAGGCTTTTCTACTGTAAATGCACAAGTTGGACATCTGTAAGAATTCGTTCTGAAAAGGAAATGTCCCTTAATATAGCCACTGCCTTCCCGTAACCACTGTTCAAATCCCAAACGGCAAATTAAGATGACAATACCCCCCCCCCAAAAAAAAAATGGTTTGATCAGACTAGAAATTGTCAACAAAAGAATTTCCGGAGCTACATTTCAAATTGAGCGAAGTAATTTTGAGGCAAGACTTGAAAATGTTGCTATTGTCTTATTAAAGAAAATGGTTCTCGTTTCCACGGATTGCTGCTACAGTATTTGCATTTCAAATACTTTCTGCAGTCGTCAGACAACCACTAGGGGGCAAACGCGTGCTTAAGGCTTCATGAAGCTGTCTCAATAAAAAGCGAGGGCACCCTACAACTTTCATGTCGAGACAAAATAGGATGGCAAAAATTGGAGATGGGGAGCATCGTGATGCGGAGCAACTGCCACCAGAGAGAGCATTTGTTTGCAAATGTTTATATATTGTTGATTGAAAAGTGTTGTAATAAAAATACTAATGTTTACAATGTTTATGATAAAGAAATTTGATTCATATTGGTGATTACAATATTGATCGCAAATCTTGATTAGCGTTTTAGTGATAATCGGCCAATCCTAATACGGGTAATATCAATAAGACAATCTTATTAAACGAATTACTTTTACAAATTTTATTTTTATACAGTTAAACTTGACTTTTTGGTGCATTTTAATTGAATCGTTATTTAAGCACGGTTTTAGAGCTCAAACTGCATAATATTACAGCAACTTTCACTTACATTAAATGAATTGTTTTGGATGAAAAGATAGACCTACAAGCTATTGTATTTGAATGTTGGATACACATGGTGGTGGTTCTTTTCTTTGAGAACTACATATTATTAGGTGGGACTTCGTGTTTACAAAATAATTGATTTAGCAAGATGAGTCGCTGATGGTGTAGTCGTGGAACACTCGCTGGTGTGGATGTGAGCGTGAATGTTCGTTTGTCTCTATATGCGACTGACGGGTGACCATTATGGATGGATGATTTGGCAAGCACTGCCCCAGAACGTTTTGCATGGAGCGAGGCTGTCCCCTTGTGTCCACCGTGACATGGTAGGTAAAGTGAAGTGAAGTGCAGTGCCTCGTAACGCCAGCAGAGAGCAGCAGTGCGTGGACGAAAGCTTGAATTGCAAGCTTCAAATTCTAACCCTTCTAATGTCATCTTGTGTTGTTGCTATTGCTGTTGTTTTTATTGTTTTTAGGTCTGTTGTCCAGGATTACTTGCCTGACTGTAAAAAAAAAAAAAAAAAGCTTTACAGGGCGTTTTACTCTTATCTGGTAAGTGGCACGATCTGGTAAAACACCACAAACTATTCTCGCAATGAGTAAATTTATTTCTATTAAAAGCCTCCCACCCACATCCTTCTTGAAAAAAGACACGAGTTAAAGAGGAATAGTAGTGTCTTTCATTGGAAACTCATAAATATTTTGTTGGTAGTAAAGAGATATCGTCAACATTTATTAGCCAATTAGTCACCTGACAAATGAATGAGCCTTTGAAACGATTCCAAATAATATTGAAACTATTTGAAAGTCGTCCACGTGTCTCGTTTTGCATGCTGTATTTTGGATGGGCAACAGGATTTGCAATGACGATCGTGTCGCTCTCAGGTGGGGACGAGGAGGGGGCCGTGGGGGTGGTGTTCTTCATCCTTGTAACCGGAATTAGCTGTGAAGTGCGACCTTGAGGTGTGAACGCAGCGCACGGTTCAAGGGAGAGGGGAAAAAAAGAGGTGTGCTTCGGAGAGGCGTTGGATTGGGGGCGGGGGGGTCTCCCATACTTTGCACCTCATTTGCAAGTGAATATGCGAGCAAATATTGGAAGCGTGGAACTTGCAAACGTGCACAGTCCGTCCATTAAATGAGACCTTTTGCGGCAATCGTCTTATCAGATGGCAAAGTTTGGCTCACAAATCTGGGGGGGGGGGGGGGGGGAAAATTTCACTGACGTCACAGTTCACAGTGAAGACGCGCAGTGCTTCACTGTGTAATACACAAACACGTCGTTTGAAAGTGAATAGATGAAAAAAAAACATATATTTTTATCATTTTGGAAGAAAACAATTACCTCGTAGACGATGTTTAAAAATACTCACTGACTAATATTTTCATTTGTGCTGTTAATTTGCCTTAACTTTGTTTTTTTTTTCCATTCTTTCATTTTAACTAATTTCATTTTTATACATGTCGATAAACCCCTAAATAGAAGTAAAAATGAGTCATGGCCAGTGAAAATTTTAGTGCATTTTTGGAGGCAAGCACCCAATATATCTGTATAGCTTCATACTACAAATATACATTTAAGACACTTGAGAAATGTTCATGACATTATCTTGGGAGGTGGTGGAAATGCGGGCTGTGTTTTTCCGGAAAATTAAAAAAAAAAATTGTAACCGAACATTTTAGCATATACTGTATTGAAGCAGAAATGTGTATACTGTAGCTTAGAAAAAAAAAAGCACCGTTTAACAACATTAACAAGACTGTATAACGAATATAATGTTGTCTTCATTGGGCGGGAAATGTACTTTTCTTAAAAAAAATCAATGAATTAAAAAGACAGTACATTTACAAATACATTTAAATATGGGGAAATGTTCTAATATTTTCATTAAAGATATTAGATACATTAGAAATGCAGTCAAGTCATCAAACCAAGTTTATTTTTTTATCTAAACCACGGTGTGTTTTCATGGAATGGCCCTGGTGACTTCAAAACTTTTTTTTTCAATGTGTATTTATGTGTGCACAATATTTGTGCTTTGTGGCCTGTGGTTGGCGCCTCTCATGTTAATGAATGAATTTGGGGAGAAGGCCCACTGTCACCTGATGACATGCCCCCTCGCATGGGTGGGTGGGTGTGTGTGTGGGGGGGTGTGGGGGAGACTTTCATTTGGATGCAAATGTAGAAGGGAGTTGACGTCAAGGCGGCTGGCTTGCAGACTTTTAGTGGTATCTTGTCATGCAGCAGCAAGCACATCATGTGAGAACACCAGCAACCTGCACGGACTACAACTAACAAAAAAAGGGGGGACCCCTATTTTGGACCACTTTCACGAGGATTCCCTTCTCTTTTTCCACCCCCCGCCCCCTTTCAAGCATGTGTCCTTAGACTCTTTCCAAGTCGAACCTCCTCGTAGCGTGAGCCAAAGCCATGTATGTGGGCTACCTTCTGGATAAAGAGAGCGGCATGTATCACCAAGGCCCCGTGCGACGATCCAGCATCAGCCTGCCCCCCCAAAACTTCGTGTCCTCGCCACAGTACCCCGACTTCAGCGGATACCACCACGTCCCCAACATGGACTCGCACGGCCACGGCCAGGCGGCGGGCGGTTGGGGGCCGTCGGCGTACGGAGCCTCCCGTGAGGACTGGAGCGCCTACGGCATGGTGCCCCCGAACACGCTGGCCACACCCGTCAACAACTCGTCGCCGGCGCAGGTGCCCTACTGCTCGGCCGAGTACACCCACATGCACCCGCCGCCCGCCTCCGCCCTCCTGCAGCCGCCGCCGCCCACGGACGACGGGAGCGGCGGCGGCGGCGGTGGCGGAGGCGGCGGGAGCGCGCATATGTCGCCCGACCGAGAAAGGCGCAACTCGTACCAGTGGATGAGCAAAACTGCGCAGTCCTCCTCCACAGGTGAGACACGCACCCAGAAAAAAAAAAATGCATCAATGAGCTGGGATTGAGAAAGAAAAGCACACGTGACAAAAAAAAGGGTTTGCAGCAAATTATGTTAGTCCTTTTTTTACACTCTTATAGCACGTGCCATTTTGATGTGGTTTTTTTGCACTTATCATCAGAGGAAGAGCCAACTCTTAAAGTTATTGTTCCCCTATGAAAGAAGGCATTTTACATTTTTAATGAGGAAGGGTATTTGGCTCTAAACATTTTTTTAAATTTGTTTTTCTATAAGAGTAAAATGACACTCTCCGAAGGCCCATGGAACCACATTTGGTTTCTATTTTTTTTTCTCTTAGAATATATTTTACATTCTTAAGAAGGCAAGGTATCACATTTGCCTCTGAAAAGTTATTTTCGACTCAAACGAGGAGTGTAATTTACTTTCTAAAGGACTACATTTGTTTCCTAGCAGTGATTTGCCTTTAATAAAATGTATCTTGTAACCTTAGCCAGAGGAAGCATATACTAATTTCTAAAAATTGTTTTCGCCTATTAAAGAGTGCATTTGACATTCTTAAGGGTACCATATTTGGAGCCTCACTGTGAACGTTTTTTTTGTAATAGAGAGTAAATGACACCCTGAATAGTCCTGAACCATATTTGGTTGCTAAAAGTCATTGATCCCTATTATAAGAGTGTGTTTTTGCCTTGTTAAAAAGCATGGCATTTTAGTTTATTAGCATGCAGTTTTTTTTTCTCTTGTTAAAGAGTTTACTTTTTAAATTTCACAAGACAAAGATCAATACTGTACATGGTTTCTGAAAGGCTTTGTTTCCTTATTCAACAGTGCATTTGACATTCTTCATTGGAAAAGTTACCATATTTGGTTCCAAACCTTGATCTCTCCTC